GGGAGCCTCTCCTCCTGGAGGCTCCCCCGGCCCCGGCTGGGCGGTGAGCGCAGCCCCGTCAGTTACCGGGGAGGGGGCGAGGCCGCCGGGGCGGGGCCTGCGCGCCGGGGGCGGGGCTTGAGTGCCGGGGGCGGGGCAGCCGGGTGGCGGGATCCGGGAGTCGACTGGGATCCGCCCTTGGCACTGTGGTCTGCCCGGCCGCCCTCCGCGGCTACCCTGGCTCAGCTTGTCTCTCCCATCCCGGGATCAGCGAGGATATTTCGGGATACGGAGGTGGGTGGGTGTTCCCCAAGGGTGACACTGAAAAGGACCCCCGCCCCTTCCCGGCTGTCCGGACCTTCCAGTTCTCCTAGCGCTTTCGGAGGAAAACCAGAAGAGGAAAGGAGCGCGGAGTGGCGCCGGAGGCCGGGGTCTTCAGGTCTCGTGTCCGTTCCTTTGCCTCCTACGGACGATGGCACGGTCCCCTGGAGCGCCTCCTACCGGCCGGCTGCACACCTCCCCCGCGAGGGCCACGTAGGTGGAGGACGCTCTCCATCTGCCTCTGCAAACCCAGCAGACTCCACCTGAGCTGGGAGGAAAGCAGATTTCCACAGCCGTCACTAGCTGCTGCTTGAGAAAACAGACAAGGCTGCAGGCTCCTTAAGGAAAAGGACCCAGTCTTGCCTCGGTTGGGGTACCCCGTAACAAGCGAGTGAGGCAGAGTACGCGGCGGACTCAAACTTTTAGGGACTAGAAAGCACACCTTCTCCTATTTAATCATTGTTACCATTGTCAACAACGACTGAGCACCTAGCAAAGGTGTAACATAAGGCACGGAAAAGTAAGAGTTCCTGTCCTCAGGCAATTTATTTTAAGAAACAGAACAGATAAACAGCTAGGCTGACCGGTTAGTTCAGAGTGTGGTGCTGATAACACCAAGGTCCAGGGTTCATCCCTGGACCGGCCAACCGCCCAACAAGAAGAAAATAAGCAGCTGGAATTCTTTTTCTTTTCTTTCTTTCTTTCTTTTTTTTTTTTTTTTTTTTTTTTATGAGCGGTATGGGGATCTGAACCCTTGACCTCGCAGCTCATAATTCTTATACCGTACACGGTTGGCCCTCCATATCCAGGGGTTCTGCATCTGTGGATTCAACCAACAGCAGATCAAAAATATTTGAGAAAAGAAAAACAATAAAAAATAATACAAAGAGCCAGCCCTGTGGCGCACTCTGGAGAGTGCAGCGCTGGGAGCACAGCAACGCTCCCGCTGCGGGTTCGGATCCTATATAGGGATGGCCGGTGCGCTCGCTGGCTGAGCGCGGTGCGGGTGACACCACACCAAGGGTTGCGATCCCCTTACCGGTCATGAAAAAGATTAAAAAAAAAAAAAAAAGCTTTATAGGGGCCGGCCCGTGGCTCACTCGGGAGAGTGCGGTGCTGATAACACCAAGTCAAGGGTTAAGATCCCCTTGCTGGTCATCTTTAAGAAAAAATAAATAATAATAATAATACAGATAAAAAATACAGTATAACAACTATTTACATAGCACTTGTATTAGGTACTATGAATAATCTAGAGATGATTAAAAGTATATAAGTGTAAGTACTATGCCACTTTATATCAGGGATTTGAGCAACCCCAGATTTTGGTATTGGATACTGGAACCAATCCAAGATTCATAAAATTTTTGTATTTTATAAATATGAAGGATGACTGTACTTTTTTAAAAAACCGACAGTCTGAGGGAACAAATGATAAACACTGAATGATTGTGGGCAGAGGGATTGCAAAGATGCATTCCAAGGAGGCAGTTATGGGTCAGGCTTTTCAGCAACTATTTCAGGAAAGAAAGTGAACTTATGCAATGATAAGATCTTGCACTTTATCCTTCCTGGTACCTTTTCCTATACACATAGGCACCTACTCCCTAGAATAAGAATTAAAACATAGTTTCTTCCAGCCCCATGTGAAATTTTGTCACTGTCAGTGGCATTATAGACAAGATGTTGTATAACATGATCCTTTCCATATTCCTGCAGATCTCTCAAAGAGACAAAGTTGGACTGATCTAAATTGTACACAATGATCAAGTCATTTTTCTGGTCCCAATTCATGGAATGATCATTCTGTACACACACAAAAAGCCAACATACAGGTTTATGACTATAAATAGGAGAGGTAGTGTATCAAGGCACACTAAGACTGGGTTCTGTAGTTAGGTGAGCATAGATCCAAATCCGGGCTTCCTGCTGTATAATCACCTGTCTTGAACACTCTCTGAGCCTCAATTTCCTCATCTTTCACCTGGGGTTAATACTATCTATCTTACAAGGTTGCTTTGTGATTTGCTAGATAACACATGTAAAGTTCCTGGTGCATAGAAGGCTCTTAATAAACACAAGCAGTGATTATTGTACACTAAGTAAGCTGTAACTAATATCTGTACTTTTGACCACAGCTAAATGCAGTACGCTATAATTTCTATTTTATTACTTTATTTTATTTTATTTTGTTTTTAAAAGATGACCGGTAAGGGGATCCTAACCCTTGGCTTGGTGTTGTCAGCACCACACTCAGCCAGTGAGCTAACTGGCCATCCCTATATGGGATCTGAACCCGTGGCCTTGGTGTTATCAGCACCATACTCTCCCGGGTGAGCCACGGGCCGGCCCCTATAATTTCTATTTTATATTTATTCAACAAATGTTTATTGGTTCTGATTCTTGTACTGGCCAGGCACACACAAAAAAGAAAGTTTATTGGACATCTCCCATGTGCTAACAAGATGCTGGAAGCACAATGGATAACAGGATGGTCATTGCTTTTACTGTCAGGACCTTAAAGTCAAGTGGGACAGAGAGACAAACAAGCAATCAGAATACAATTCAAGAACGGCTCTAACAGGAAAGGACAGGACACCTCTCTACCTAGCCCAGACACCTGGGCAGTGCGCAGATAGAACCAGATGTTCTGAGAAAGAAATGAGTCAGAACCTCTTTAAAGGCTCCCAGAAGTAGGTAGAATATGATAAAATAATGGCACACACATACATAATGAGTAGGCTCAAGTAATGGCAGACCTGGCACTCACTATGGAGTGGCTCTGTCTTATCTCCAGAGCTTGTTGGCTACAAATGAGATTTGCTAGCAAACTATTCATTAAAACAATCATATTACAATGGGATAGCCTGAGGGCTTAGGCATTTCATATGAAGGATTTTACCTACAGTAATGTCTAGATCAGTGGTTCTCTACGGGACATTTTGCAACATCTGGAGACATTTTTTATTGTCGCAACTAAGGGGAGAAAGGGTATTGCTATGGTTTGAATGTATGTCCCCTCCAAAACTCATTTTGAAACTTAATCCCCGATGTAACAGCATTGGAGGTGGGGCCTTTCATCTAAGAAATAAGAGTATTGGCTTAGATTATGTAGAAGGTCCTTTCCAGCTTGATAAAAGTATATAAATAAAATATACTTATAGGATTAGGGTGCAATTAACAGGGGGCTGTAAGAGTAAGGGGTGGTGGTCAGTCCTGGTGCTGGTCTGTCTGTACTCCCTCATCTTCCAGATTTCCTGGCGTCAGGTGCTGAGTCCATTCATCAAAAATGTATGGAACATGGGCCAGCCCATGGCTCACTCAGGAGAGTGCGGTGCTGATAACACCAAGGCCACGGGTTCGGATCCTGTATAGGGATGGCCGGTTGCTCACTGGGTGAGCGTGGTGCTGACAACACCAAGTCAAGGGTTAAGATCCCCTTACCAGTCATCTTTAAAAAAAAAAAAAAAAAAGTATGGAACAGGTATGGTGCTGATAACACAAAGTTCCAGGGTTCAATCCCTGTACCAGCTAGCCACCAAAAAAAAAGTTTGATCCAGCAATCTTACTTCTGGGTATTTACCCATAAGATTTGAAATCAATTTGTCAAAGAGATGTCCACACTCCCATGTTCATTGCAACGTTATTCACAATAGCCAAGATATGGAATCAACTAAGTGTCCATCAACAGATGAACGGATAAAAACAAATGTACATATACACAATGAGATACTATTCAGCCTTCACAGACAAGAAAATTCTGTCATTTGCAACAACAGAGATGGAATTGGAGAACATTACACTAAGTGAAATAACCCAGGCACAGAAAGACAAATACCACATGTTCTCATATGTGGAATCTAAAACAATTGAACTCATAGAAGCAGAGAGTAGAAGGGTGGTTACAGAGGCAGGGAGGTGAAGGGAAGGAGGAGATGATGGTCAGAAGGTACAAAACAAAATTTACGTTAGTCAGGAGGAAAATGTTTGGGTTGTTATTTCTTATTTTTTTTTATTTTTTAGTTCTATTGCACAGCATGGTGAATATAGTTTAACAGAGTATTGTGCATTTCAAAATTGCTAAAGGAATAAATTTCGAATGTTCTCACCACAAAAAAATGTGAAGAATTTGAGGTGATGGATATGTTAACTAGCTTGATTTAATTATTCCACATTGTGTTCATAAATCATAACATCACTTTGTACCCCATAAATTTATACAATTATTTAAAAAAAGAAATTTCAGATTCCCATGCCAGCCAGCCACAGGAAAAATTTTTTTAAATTTAATTTAAAAATAAAAATAGAAATAAAAAAATGTTTGGAGCACCTACTGTGGGCAAAGCACCGTGTTAGGTGTTAAAGGGATACAAAGAGGAATTGGATACAGTTCTTGCCCTTGGATTACCCACAATGTGAGAGGGCAGAGGAAGCAAGGATAACTATACACAAGGACAGGCACTTTGCATACCCTGCTCCTTCATCCTCACTGCGTCGCTTTACTTATGCCTATTTCTCAGGCAAGGAAGCTGAGGCTCAGGAAGATGAAGCAGCATGTCCACAGTCAGAGAGTGATGATTGGTGGAGCCTGGGTTAGACCCTTGGCCTGTTTGCTCCAACACATGAGCCTTTTCTAACGACTCCCACTGCCTGGGCAGTGCCAAAAGAGGGGCACAAACAGCTCTGGAGAGCAAAAGGAGGGAGATGGTCCAACCTGGAGGGAAACAAGAGAGACTTTCTGAGTAGGGGAGACACTCTAATTGTTACTTTTAGGTTTTTTTTTTTTTTTTCCCCTTTTGTCTTT